AGGCAACAGAACGATATCCAGCTATGTGGCCCAAGGACCTGAGTTTGCCATTCTTGACAGGCGTGACAGCTGGGTGCCAGCATTTTTCTGTAGCTCATTCGCATCTGTAGTTACTGTCTGTGTCTGCACAAAAATGCAGTTCAGATGCCAAAAGGCAAAGAAAATGTGTATTTTTCATGTGCATGAGCACAAACGTTCAGTGTGTAGCTTCCCTCAGTGCATGTTGTGCACATATAGACGCTTGCATAAATGGTATGTATGCAGTTACACTCATCTACATTTCTGATGCTGCCTTACATCAGATGTTTTGTGTTCTGTAGTTGTTTAAACCTTAAAATTACCACAGCCTCTAGCACATTTGTGCTACTATTCAAAAACAGGCTGCAACCTTGAAGTAAACTGGTACTTTGTAGATAAAGTAAACCAAATAGTAGTACAGCAAATGCAAGGAGCCAGGCAGTGGGACTCACTGCCGTTCATTCCTGTGGAGAAATGCATTTGCTTGTGCCTGGGTGGGCCAGAAAGCAGATGCAGAATTGGGAAAATTCTTCGGACTGGAGTGTGGTCTGCAGTCTGGAGGAGGTGATATGCCACTGTCTTTGCTTTCAAGTGTGTATTTTACACTAATCTCCTGCTGGTGAGGGGAGCCTCACAGCCTCCTCTGGATTAAGTGGGGCTACCCCAGCCTGTGCCTGCAGATAGCTGCTCTTGGCTGTGCTCCATGGCCCTGCAGAGAAAACTCCTGTTCCTTCCCCAACCTTTCTTCTCACACCTTAATGAAAGATGCTGAAGACTACCTTGAATACTCTGTATTGTGAAATGCCTTTGAGATAGCTCACATGACATTGTCTTGCTATCTTTTCTGCATGCAATGAAAATGGAAATAATAGTATCAATTCTCACATAATTCCATTTACATCCCTCACCCCTCCGTGAAAAAAAAAAAAAGTGATCCTCTTTCGGTTGTTGTTTGGCTGTTGTTTCACTTTCTACAGAAGCAGGCTACATGTTTCACACCACATATCAGTGCATCGTATATCACATATCCAAAAATAGGTTTAGCACATTGATATTACATTTGACTTACCCCACTAGCCTGAATTCTGTATAATTTGTCCTGATGGTCAATACAACCTTTTCTTTTGGGCGCTTAATAAAAAAATTAATTTTAAAGTCAGGGACCATTAGTTTCCTATGTCTGCTATTCATGTGCCACTATGGTTCTTAGCTGTTAGGGCCAAGAAAAGGAGGAATGAAATTGTGTTAAGTATCAATCACAGGGACAGGGCATTGCCCTTCAGCACCAGGCTTATACTGCCGGCTCCAGAACAATGGAAACAGTCAGATTTCCATATTTATGGAGGCAAACTTTATGGGTGACTTGATTTGTCACAAAGCACTGTTTACTGCCCTTTATTCCAACTGTGGAGTGCCCAAGGTAGAGAAAATTACAGGAATTTGAAAGGAAGTTGACAAAGACAAGGACAACCAAATCAAGTGGCACAGCTGAGAACAGCAGCCCAGACTGGTTAATTAATATGGCAACATTCTATGTAAGCCCGTAAAACTCAAGGACCATTCAGGAAAAGAAATTATGATTAGAAAAAGGTCTTTCTCCCCTCATCCTGTTACATGCTTCAGCTAAGATGAGGTCCTTATTTAAAAAAAAGGAGAAAAAACAGTGTTTAGCAATAAATTAGATAATTTAATAACATTTTTTTCCAATGAAAAGGAAACAGATTTCATATAATGATGGTCAATGTGTGAATTACAGTAACAGTGAAAATGGCTATTAAATTGTTAGAGAAATAAGGATTAACCATTGATTTTTAACAAATTTACTATTAATTGAATGCCCAGAACAGTATAACAATTTTTTCCCAAAAGATGGCAGCCATTTGCCTAATAAACTAGCTTAGCTCCTCTCAAGCTCTTAAAGTTATTAATAATTTATTGAGGATGGTGATTAATCCTTTTAGGGCACTCAAACTCAAAACCCATTACACCATACATTCAGTCCCTTTTGTCTGGGCAACTCACACGAGGCCCTTGTACTGTTTTCCCTCCTCAGAGGAAGCAGTTTCCTTCTCACCCCTTTTGAAATGGTAGCTCTAATTTTACCCCATGGTGCTTATTTCTTCTTCCTGAGCTCCTTGGCACTGGTCTGGCACCGTGTCTGGCAGCCGCCTGATCCATCTGAACATTTTTGGCACCATGCATATAACTCGTCTCACTATGGAAATGGCATAAAAAGGAAGAACTGAGAAAAGAGGGGAGGGAAAGGCATGAGGCAGCCAGGCAGGTTATAGGCATGTTTGCTTTTTCTTTGGTGAACTCGTTGGGGCAGGGGGTGGTTGTTGCTTGGCATGTGCTTAAAATGTCTCTGTGAATGCTCAAGAGAGCTTGGCTTGGCTTGCAGCTTGCAGGCATCTGTGCTACTTGAGAAATTACAGATGCTTGTTTAAAGTGTCAAAATCTGCTGCTTGAAGTGCAAGGAAGCATGCTGCAGAGCACGGCTCTGGTCGGTAAAACTCTTCCTTTGTTAAACTGAAAGGACCTCAGGGATATCAGAACTCTTCTGATTACACAAAACTATATCTGCTGGTTGGTGTTTTAGCCAAGAGCTGTGATACTGTGTAAATTCACAGATCTGAAGGCTAGAAAGGACCCTTGGTTGATTTAATCTTACCTCCCATCCTGGTCTGCTGCTTTCATTTTTTGAGCAGTTATCATTGATTGGTTGAAGTGTGTCATCCTGGAATGCATCCAAGAGTTGGAAAAAATTCCAGATAAATTAAATTAAACAACATTCTTATAATTGTCATGTATTTTTCCTGCAATCAGAAGCTTTACAGCTTGTGAAACCAGGATTACCCGTGTGAACAAAGGGCTGAAAGGTCAGACCTTTCCCTGAGCACACATGTGACAAGGGACAATGGCTGCCTGCCAGGATGATAATCTGTGTTTACATTCCTGTGTTCGCAGATTGAGGAAAGTGGTGGGATATAGAGGTGAGGAACCACAATTACCAAGGGGAGGCAGAATTGGAATTTGCTGTGGAAAATGTCGGAAATCTGTCGATAATTACAGCAAGATTACTGCATCACTGGGTCCAAACCACCTTTCAGGAACCTTTTGGGCATCCAGACAGGAATAGTGCCATATAAAGCCTGGGAGGTTTCTCTTATTCCACTGGGTGCCTGTTTCTGTTTTCCAGAAAAAGGTGGAGGACCATCCCAACCGGAGTCCCTCCATTTGGTTGGCCATGTACAGCGCTTTTGGACGGCCAATCCTGCTCAGCAGCACCTTCCGCTACCTGGCTGACCTGCTGGGCTTTGCTGGTCCACTCTGCATTTCTGGCATTGTCCAGGGCTTCCAGAATACAACCAATAATACAAACACCACAGAAAAGGTAACCTGACAATGTGCATTGAAAGGCTCTGGTAGTAGTTTTAGAGTCATATCAGGTATTTAAGATAGCTGGCTGCATGCTTTGATAGGTCTGTGGTCATCACTGCATTATTTCATTGTTTCTCTCAAGCAAATTAAATATTTCTGTTGTGAGAGACAATCAAGTTATAAACCTGAGCAGTGAGAGGCTTGGGTAGGAATGGAACAGAGGTCGTGGAGGCTCCTCCCAGCTCCCCAGCTGTCTGTCTTTATGGAGTCATCCCAGGAGTTCTGGGAATAAGGAACCATTTTTTCTGCTCCTCTTCAACTGTGCCTGTTTGTTTCAGTAAGGACACACACTGGTGGTACCTCAGTGATGCATCCAGCCTGGGTATTTTGCTTAATTCCTGTCCATTTGTCAGTTTATACTTCACTGACAGTTTTGAGTTCTCTCAAATCTGTTTTTTATACTGGGAAGCTGACAGTAGCCAGTCCCTGTTTGTGGCTGATTGTATTGATTGCTGCTGTGATGAACTGTGTTGGCACATACTGAGAAATTGAAAAGTATCCACTTTACTTAATGGTGTTCTTGATACTAGAGATGCACAAGAGATGCCATATCAGTGCTCATTTCAAGTTTCACTGCAACTGAACTTTCAGGGATCACATCTAAATGCTGAGCAAGTCTCTGATACAGAACATTTTCTATCACAAAAAAAAGGATTTATGAGTAACTAATGAAATGATACAGGTAAAATTATTTTACTGACAGCAGAGAAGAAATGACGAAGACATTTTTCTGCATTTGTCTTGTGACAGAGAAACATCTCCATACAGTTTTTGGAGTGTTTTTTCTCTGAATGAGCAGATAGGTATGTAATAGAATAGCATTTTTCTCTCCAGATAAAGTATCATCACTATCCACATATCTTTTTCTTGGCTGCTCACTCCTGACATTAATTTTCTTCACTGATGGACTCAATTTGGCTTGAGACTTTCCTGCACTGAAGGAGAATTTAATTGTACAGCTTATCAAATAAAGCTTTTTATCATCCTTGAACCTGCACATGCAGGATTTAAGCCACAGAGTTACAAGGCAAAGTGCATGTTTTTGTGCCTTCAAAAATGTTGGGGTTTTTTGCATGGTGAACAAACAAAGTTTTTAAGCTTGAAAATAATTTCTGGATCTCAGATTTAGGAATCTGTACCTTGTCTTCTTCCTTTATCTTTTGTCCTCTTCAGTGTGGTGGCTTCAGTTGTGGCTTTTTAAAGTTTCAATGAACATTGGCTAAAGGGAAGATTGAAATAATTGGAAATCTTGAAAGCACTTGGTGACAGTCACTGTTTCTCTTGGATACATTTCAGAATGCATGTGCCTTTAATTTATGGATTTTGATAAACTTTATCTTGGTTGTTCTTGCTATTAAACATTTCTCTTTTAAATTCTCTGTAGTTCCAATTAATGTGAATACATTTAATCTTATGTTTATTCTGCCATAATTCCTGAGAACTCCATATATATTGTAAAAAGTTATCAAGAAATGTTATTTTCTTAATGATATCCCTACTATGAAAACAAGGGGAAGTTAGATGCAGCAAAATACTAAAAGGGAAGTTTTCCAATATATTTATCTCACCATTCATGCACTTAAGCAACTCTTTTTTCAAGGAATCTTGGGGAGATTGCTTTCTTTCTTATATTGCCCATATCCTTAATCTCAGAATCATGCTGGATATTTCAGTAGGACAGGCTTTTTCCTTCTCTTTTTTTTTTTTTTTTTTTCCCTGTAAGAATTCCAGTACATCCTGCTTCCAGCTGGGTCGGAAATACCAAAGGAATAGTCTTCCTTGGAGTATTTTGATACATTTGTTTCCTCTGCTGCCTGAAACAGAGCAGAACAGTGAACACAAAAACTAGAAAATTAAAACAAAGGGCTTTAAAGAAGACTTTTTTTCTCTTCCATATTGAGGCATTTAAATTTAATTTTATGTGGAATACTGGCATGTATAGTCTAATGTTATTCAGAATTTATGGCTGTCATAGACTGTACTTATGGAAGGAAATGTTTCCATAATATGCAAATGCAACATATATAACTAATCCCATATAATAAAAAATATTTTCTTGCAGCTTCTCTGTGGGCAGGTGGAATGAGCTTTATTTTCTACTGAGTAGCATTTCTATCCTGCAAATCACCACAATTTGATAGGGATACTAAAGACAGGGCAGACACGGTGATCTTATTTCTCCTTTCCTGCTAAAACTAAATCATTTTAGGACTGCTAAAACGTCTCAATCCTCAGTCTTTGGAACAGGAGAGGAGTTTTAAATTTGTATGCAAATGATTTTGATATAGAGGTCAGTGAGAAATCTGATTTCTATAACTTTACCATAATACCAGCAATATATTTTATTCTAATGCAATGATTAAATTTGCTTGTTTCCAGCTTCTTGGGAATATACAATCCCTCCTACAGCACTAGCATAATTTTTTCCTTTCTTTTCAGGTGAAGGATCCATCAAACTCCTACCTTTCATCAGAGGAATTCCTCAGGAATGTTTATGTCTTGGCAGTCCTTCTCTTCCTGGCTCTTATCCTGCAGAGGACATTCCTGCAGGCCTCCTATTATGTGACTACAGAGACTGGCATCAACCTCCGGGGTGCCTTACTGGTGAGAAAAGATCTGCCAGGAGATTCAGTAGTAACAGCTCCAGCTTTGTCCTTTCATTTGTCTCGTTCTTCATCTGAAGACTGAGCTTGAAATGATGGTTTCAGAGAAGATATGTGCTGTATTTTTATACAGAAAACTGGACAAATTAATGCTGGCAAACTGCTGGCACCCGTTCCTTTGGCTAAAAATTAATCCCATCATTCTAACCTGTTGGAAGTTTAACACCCATAAAACCCCATGCATATGAAAACACATCTTTGCAGACAGTGAGAGATAGATGAAGATCAGCAGTGTCATTTTTGCTCTCCATCTGCTTTGTTTCATTTGCTTATGAGTTTGCTTCTGCTGACTGTGGACAGCCATCTGCAGAGTGTCCTTGTTTTATGGGAACGCTGTGCATATGTTGGGAGTGGTGACTCTGGATAATTATGCCCTTTAGCACAGAACCCTGTGGGAAGGGATGGGAGTGATTCATCTGCAGGGCTGTCTGTAACCCCAGGATCCCTTAACCCTCTGTGAGAGCCTTGTTTGTGGACTGTAGCCAGCATGACCCAGCACGTGGTGGGGTGTAGCAGGGCTCTGCAGAGACCAAACTCCACAGGCAGCAGTAGCAATCCAGAAGCTGGAACTGATATTTTGCCAGATGTAAATAACCATGGGAATATCATCTCAGCGTGGAAGCTTCTTTTTTTTTTTTTTCTTTTGTACTTGCTCTGATTGATGGAGCTGCTTCAAACGTTTTCTGCCTTCTCCCAGGATAACTGGTACAGACTTGGGGATGAAAAAGCTCCTGGTTGTTTCTTTTTGTGACTACTTTTTGTGATTCCCACTTACCAAAGTTAGGACTCTTAGGAGCATATGCAGATGATATAATTCACCATGCATTTCTGATTAATTCTACAGGATATACTTTATTCATGAAGAAAATGGGTCAAAAAAGACATATTATTTTAAAAACATCCTTAGAGCTGCAGCATTTGGTGTTTGATCATAACTGCAAACTCAATATTTGGGCTCACAATTAAAATTCAGTAGATGTAAGCCATGATTAATTTTAAACCCTGTTAAACTCCTACAAATTTTACGGAAAGGAATGGCCAGGTAATGGAGAGGAACCCAAAGGAATACATACCCACTCTGATCAAATTTCACATCATGAATTTACCTATCTTATCAGAAACAAGGATCTCTTTGACAGACAGTGTCACAGGAAAGCAGGGTCACCAAATGCTTGTTAAAAATGTTCTTTGGCTAATTCCTTAAATTTTGATATTTTGTTGTCATTCTTTGTTCTATTTTAGGTCTGCGTTAAGCAACAAACCTTTTAAGAGGAATTGGAGGTTTTTTAATCAGTTCTCTCTCTTGTGTTTTCTCTCACTGTCTCCATCTCTCTTTGTCTCAGGTGAAAGACTGGGAGAAGTGCTGTCCTAGGTAAAGGCTGTTGATGCAGTTTGAAACATCCCACTACTACTGTTCTTTTATACTTACATCATTTTAGTAACTTCCTTTTTCCCTCTTTCTTACAGGCAATGATATATAACAAGATCCTGAGGCTTTCTACATCCAACTTGTCCATGGGAGAGATGACACTGGGACAAATCAATAATTTGGTTGCCATAGAAACCAACCAATTAATGTGGTTCTTGTTCCTGTGCCCCAATCTGTGGGCAATGCCTGTTCAGGTAGAGCATCCAAGTAAGGGCCTGATATCAGAGATCCTCCAGCCTGGCTGAGGAGAGTGCGTGTCTGGGACACTGCTACAAAATCCAGAGGGGAACATGCACTTCCCACTAAGATTAGCAAGCAGAAAGGTGGCCCTAGGGCTGGAAAGATGTCTTTCCAAAGGCCAGTGAAGAGAGAAGGTTTTTTTAGCAGGATTTCCATGTCTGTGACTTGAAGAATGAGGACCTGCAATCCTTTTTCCTGCTCATATTTCTTCCACTGCTGACACAAATCCATTGCCTTTGTTTTGCCACCTAGCATCAGCCCTAAGCATTGCTTCTGCAGTGTCCACTTGTAACTGGGTTTTGTGGCAGGACCAACAGCAATTGAATCCTGCTCCATGACTGACATGAACACTGACAATGCTCAGAGGAGCTCTCATCTAAGCAACTTAGTCACTGAACATATCTGCTTCTTAACAATGCTGGGAAAGAAATGGAGACAATCTGTGGGAAGAAAAGGTTGAGACAATTTAGCTCAAAAGAAATCTTCAAAAATGCCAATGACTTAATGACCTGAGACATACTGATTTTCCATGAAACTTGGACTCCTGTTGCCTCTTTAGAATTTGAGCTCAGGGTGTGTTTGCCATGGTCCTTACCTGTCAGTGATCCCACTGAAATTAAAGAATTTTTTAAAGTGATAGAACCAACTCTTATAGTAGATCTGTTTTGCTGAATTTCCTGAAACTGCATCAGTAATCTATTTTATGAGTCAGTAATTACTCCTACTAAGGGGTTGGGTAGGGTTTAGAGTGTAATGAAATAGCTTATAAAAAAAGGCAAAAAAGGCTACATAGAAACAGAAATTAGAAATAATATATATGGTTTCATTTCACTGTTTCACATCCTGTGAAGTGGATGAAAGTGTTGCTATCAATACTTTGAAAGTAATTTAAATGAACAGGTGATCTGGTTGCTGTGGCTAGGTATGGTCCTTTGCAGTACAGGAGCCTGAAAAGCTAAATATTGCTTTAAAAATCTTAAACACTGCTGATTTTTACTTCTGATGTTGTATAATAAGAAGGGAGATTTAAAGACAGACTTGTTTAAGAGATAAAAATATGAGATATGCAACTAATTCTGTATGCCCTCTTATCACTGAGGACATCACTCTATCACAAAATGGAGCTTTAATAGAAATATTTATATAGCAGGGCTTGAATTAACTCAGGAACCAGAATCACAACAGTCACATCACAGCCATTCCCAGGTAACCTTCTGTAGGAAGTGTTCCCAAACCCTTTGCAGGGCTAAGGCAGCATTTTCCTCCAGAGCTGCATGGTACTGATGCTCAAGCTCAGTTTGTGTCAGTCCCAGCACATCTGCTTTGTGCTTCAGTGTCTGTCTTCGATGTCCCTCTGCCTACAGTTGCACAGGGACAGTACAACACAATGCAACTGTGATCCATGACAGCTCTAAGACCTCTGAATGCTTCCAGAGTGAGGTAAGGAGCTCTAGTGTAAACAGGACTTCAGGCCAGGAGCTCTGTAAAATGCCTTGGGGCAAGCACCATCATTTTAGTTCTCCTTTAGTTTTGTGGAAACCCAGTCTGGAATTAGAACTACCAAGCACTAAAACAAACTATTTAGTTAATGTCAAAAATAAAGGCTTCTGGGTTTATTTCCCACACTTTCAAATGTGACCTCCTGAAGCATGGGCTTAGCTGATTCCTATGAACCATTTAAGTGTTTATTAGAAGAACAAACATTTTTCTCTTGGTGTGGTTCTGGCATATTGAAATCTTCTTCTTCTTTTTTTTTTTTTTTTTGTGTTACTTTTCTTTTCACAGATAATAATGGGTGTGATCCTCCTCTATAACCTGCTGGGAGTAAGTGCCTTGGTTGGGGCCTCTGTAATCGTGCTCTTAGCTCCCATCCAGTACTTCATAGCCACCAAGCTGGCTGAGGCTCAGAAGAGCACTCTTGTAAGTGAATTATTTCAGTGACATTTGTGATCCAGAAATGAGAACAGGGTTTCTGGGTTCTGTTCTTCTAGTTAGTGAAAACCACTGTGTGCATTTGGGCAGGCCATCCATCAGTTGTACTGTCCCTCCCTGTCTGTTTTTTCTAATGGCTCAGTGTCTCTTCCTTCCTCACAATTTGTCAGAAGAGAATCTCAGAATAGTATGTGGGCCTTGGTCTGCCTTCTCTGCAAAGAGTATTTTTAATTAAAAGAGTATTATGCAACTAGTACAATTTTATCTGAATTCCACTTCATTAAACGGTGTTATTCCCACATGCAGAGGTTGTATTTCATGGAATGTTAGCAAACAGTGCAAATGACTGATAAATTACAGCAGGAAAATATTAAAGAATGTGCACAACCTCCCTCTGTAAATTCTAGAGACTTTTTACTCTCTGCCTAAGCTTTGGTATTTTCTAAAAGTCAGTTAGCACTGTTGGATTATTATATATTCATATCTAAATTCTTCAGTGCTGTATGTTTATTTTTCTGCCTCATTTCATTTACCAATTAGAAATGTTTTCTGCTCCTTTGTCTAATTTTTAACTTTATTGCTGTGACCATTGAACTTTTTAAATAAGCCTTTGATGTTTAAATTGCCAAATATTTAGAGTTCTTTTTATCTTAATATTCAGTAAGCAAATTATTGATCTAATTGTCAGCACACTTCAATCCTGCTGAGTTGTGAAAGTTTTTGTAACCTGTAAAAATTGTACAGAGGGCTTAGCATAGTTTTGGAAATAATCTCAATCTTTTCTACTGCTCTATTCTGCCTTCCTCTGACTCATAACATCTTTTGGATTATGATTTTACCAAAACTTATGATTACTGTTTTCTGTTGAGGGGAATTTAGCTAAAAACATTGATATCTCGCTTATTTTCACAACTAGATCCCTGAATGATTCTTGCATCTGCAAATACACCCATTTAGATTTCTGGCTATTGTTATGGACACCATGGACCTGCTCACCCACCTCCCAGAGTTTCGCCCTCTCTTTGAAGGGTTGGGATGTTTTGAGTTATTTTTCTTTGCAGAAAAGGGTGACTTACTTTCCCCTAGTGGTTGTAAATATTTTAATACGTCCAAAGAAAATGAAATTTTATATTCTTCCTCTCAGTATGGCACCTGTACAAAATCACAAATGAACAAAATTATTTTTTAAAATTAATTTAACAACAGTAAGTGAGGAGAAAAGAGGGTTGTTATTAAGACTACAAACAGTTATAAATTTTTTTCTCCTGGTTTTCTCTTGAAATGAAGGACTATTCTACTGAGAGATTAAAGAAAACCAATGAGATACTC